TTGATGATGCCGACTACGATAGCAGCGAAACGTTTGAGAATGTACCAAATCCACTATCTAATGCTGGGAATCATGAAAACTAGTATGGCAGACGACTTCGGACTAGGTGTGTTCTACTAAGTTGCCCTGACAACAAGACCAAGTTGCGACAGCGAAGTCAACCCACTTCTAAAGATCGCAAGGAGACTGCAACCATACAACATCTTGGTTCTCATATCTTCGATTAAGCATCCTCTGCCTCTGCTTTGAATGCATGCTTTACTTATCAAGCTATGTAAATCAAAAGCATATATTTAAAAAAATCACTCTTGACTTGATCCTCTCCTCGGTATTTAGCGTTGTGAGATTAGGCTTGTCTTTCTTTGTTCCATTCCACTGACTCCCAGGTATCGAATTTAATTATGAGGGCAATAATAGGTATAACAACTCCGAGATGCATACTTCATTCTTACATTTTGCTGTATATTCTTTACAAATAAAAAGTCATGTCATTTAAGCTTGAATTGCTACTTTTTTGCTTATATCGCATTTTAAATTGTCATTTTTCTTACCGACCTTCATATATGGTTTCCTCAAACTGCATCTTCTAATTGTTATTACCTTTTTAAATGTATTATTTTTGTCCTTTTTACGGTATTCTCTATTTCTATCCAGCGCAACCACCAAGCTCAGTTGGGCTGTGATCGTGGAGCAGTGCCCACTGCTATAAGCAGAGTACAAAGAAATAGGTCTGGCCCTCTGGAATCCATACTTACCACCCAACCAATCCCATCCAGAACACAACGTACACTTCGGCATAATAGACTACCTTCGAGCAGTAATGATAGGGATTCTGGTTCCAGTGATTCTCAACTAAATCATCCAAATTCAACAAAACGTCGGAGACGTCTTCTGATAGAAAACGAGGATAGTGATGAATTTGCTTCTCCCTCTCGATCACAAGAGGACTTGCAATGCAAACGACGCCGACAATGTATTATACTTTCAGATCATAGTGATATTGACTCCCATCCTCTCCACGATTCGCCTACTATGGGCACAACGTCTATTGAGGCGGTTGCCACACGCAATGCCAGTGTTAGCCAGCACGCTACCACTTCTCAGGCCGTCTGCTCTGATGGAGAACGGAACACTCGAACAAGAAAAATGCGGAGAGCAAGTTGATTTTTTTGGTGGAGCTTGAAGTTTAAGATAATTTATTAGTATATTTTTTTCTTGTCTTTAGGTTACTGAACAGAAAAGAACCTCTAATGAAACAGAAGATGGACAAGATGGAAGTGACACAGGTCAGGAAAGTGACGAAGAACAGGATGGAAAAAGTGAAACTGAAGAGGAAGAGACATCTGAGAGTACAACAGATGATACTGAATCATCTGGAGAAAGTGATTCAAGTTTTCGATCTATAGAAAGTTCACCCGAATGCTCACAAAAATTGAAACACTCTTTGCGCAGGAGTAAAAGACTGCTTGTTTCTCCACCCGATCCACCCTCTATTCCCAATTGGACAGATATGGCTAAAGATGTCTCATCTGATCGAGTAATCTATGAGCTAGTTGATGACTTACACACTTTAGCCAGCGACCCAGCCCGACTAGCTGCAGCCAAAGAGGCCCAGGCGTTACTGAGACGGTTGAGAAAACCGAAGCGTCAAAAAATTAGTAGGTTTCGCTCGAAACGGCGCAAAACCCTTGGCAAACGATCTCGGAGGAGAAATAAAATAAAGAGGAAAAAAAGAACCGCTAAAAAGTCCATGACAATCGTTCAAAAGAAGCTCATTAAAAAGGTGCGTTATTACATCCTTATTTTATATTATCCTATTCATATCTGGCTCTTATTCCTCGACTTCTCCACTTTACTATTTGGTTAGCTTTTTCTTGTTCATCCAAGCCGTCAAAAGCTGCAACAAGTTTAAGCCATGGTCTTTATCTCTCACAGTGAAATTCATAGGCTTTGCGCTTTGTTATTTAAACAGAAAGTTTACTTAACTATTCGGTTTAGGTACTTTTCGCTACTTTATCCCAAAACAAATTCCAATGTCACGTTCATTCCATTGTTAATTTGTAATATAGATGCTTAAATTTTTTTTAACGGAGTTTATCTAATTATAATTCATACTACTTTTTTATTTCAATTTTTGGATTCTATTCAGTTCTCATAGCTACTAGTTATTTTTTTGGCTGGTCTTATATTTCCACCTACAGAAGCTACTTGTAGATTTTTATAGTTATATTTTTCCTAGCGCCTTTATCGAAAACCGCTTTATCTGAGATACCATGCGACTCATTTAATTTACTTTCTTATTTTCATGTTTAAGAGAAGATATAACGGAGATGATTGTGTATTTATTACTAAAAACGTAGTTGTCCTGGGTTGCCGAAGTTGATTTAAGGACTTAAAGTGTAATTCTCTCATTGATATTAATAATTCTTACAATGACAGTGTACTTCACTTAGCCTTCCATTTCAAGAGGCTTGGTCGTCAAGGGTGGACTGTGGTCTCTATTCTGAGTCCTATCAGCACCCCTAATGATGTTTAAAACCGGGTAGTGCATGTCGTGGAAGTGTTATAACTCCGCTACATGATATAGAAATAGACTCACCGAAAATTTGTATTAGTAATATTGTTCATTTTGATAAAATACCTTCGAATTTGCTATTTTCTTTTTTTAGATGAAAATCTCATCTCCAGAAAACAATATCAAGAATATTGAATCCAGTTCATCTTATTTAGGCCCATCAACTTCGTACCCTATTTGCAAGTCTTCTGAACGCTCTATTCATAGTTCATTTCCAAAATTATCTATTCTTGGCCGTGAACTCAATTGTGGGTAAGCCAATGCATTCCATTGTCTACATAGATTTTTAAATTCATTAGTGTCTATAATACGAATATTTCTTCTGTATCATATCGATTTATGTTACAATCCCATGTAATAATACTTGACTTCCTAGCTGTCTTTTGTATCGTAAGAAGCATTTACGTGAATCGGCACCATAAAAACAGAGGACTCAAATGCTGGGAATATCTTTTTTTCTTCGGGTTGCTAAAATGTCCATTGTATATCACTTGTAATCGCTTATTTAATTCAATCAATGATTTCCCATTCATTTTGATTTAAAATGTGTAGGGTAAGAACTTTAGTCACCCTTGATCGGCTAAGGTTATTTAAGGACTGGTAGTGAAATTCACTACAATGAAGCTAGTTTGGTTCGAGGTGCCATTTAATTTCATGTAACCGTTTCCTGGGTTCTTGGTTTGTGTATCATCCATGATCGAGGCTCATGAACTTTGTAAATGAATTTAGTGACCGTTACAAACTCATAGAATTTGCTCTTTTAATTTTTCTTCGTATTTTGCTTGCTGATATAGTGAGTTTTCCTATTCATTAGAATTTATTCCTCTTAACATAAATATACGTTTTATGAAGAGAAACTGGGTTTCGATGAATCTCTTTAGATAATATTGTTAGGTGGACTTTCAGTTCACATGAAAGTGAATGAAGAATAGATTGTTTGACCTCGTTTTCGCAACATGGTCATATTGGCAGGAAGACTTATTGGAACGCACCTAGTCCGGGGTCCATTGTCTGC